GCTGGTGCACAATCCACGGATTTGCATAGGCCTTGGCTTATCTGATGGCGAGGGGACTGAACGGTTATGGTCGCGATTCGTTCGCTTGATTGGTGTAGAAAGGTCATCATCAGTGCGTTACATTTTGTTCTTCCAAACAATATACTAACTATTTTGAGTCACTTAGCGCCAGCGCCGTCTTTGGTTAATCGACCGTCAAGCCACTGCGATAGGGTCAGAAATGAAAGCGGACCTTGGAGACTGGATCAGACGCCGTCTCAATCGGGGCATTAAGGCCCAGGGCTCTGCTGCCCTCGACATCATTGACCGCTGTGAAACGTCTGTGGATGACTTGCAGGCTCAGTGGGCTGACCAACGACAAGCCCAGCTCTCGATTCGTGCTCGTGAGCAAGCCTATGATATGCACGCACTGAATACTGATGCTGATTGTTTCTAGATGCTCCTGCTCGCCTCAGGAAGGAGCTAGACACCGTTCTCGCTCTACAGGCCGACTTGGACGCGTCAGAACGAGCCCTGCAGACTACTAGGACTATGCTGGAGAAGGAGACAGCGTCCAATGACACCCTCGATGCCCTCGAGAGCCTCCAAAGAGGCCACGATCGTCTCATGACTAAAGTCGAAGCATTATACTCTTCTCTTAATGTTCATGATAGATTCCCCGAGCTCAATGGAGTTAGTCTCGACTTCGTCCGTGTCCTTCTCATGACACGTGATCTCAAGATCAATATTCGAAAGCGCGCTATCGCCAGCTTCTTTGAATGGGATAAACTTGATCGTGCTGTGGGCGGGTCCCACCAAGCATTAGGTAACTCTTCGCGTATACTGTTCCTCCATTCTAACTTTATTGTTCAGGGACGAAACTTCATCAACACACTCGCAAAGCTATAGCCAAACGCCAACCTGCTCTCATGACGGCAATCCGAAAGTTCAATTCTTACTGTGAGCGATTAGAGTCACTCTACAATCCTGCTTGGAATATCCCACTTCCTACTCCTCTCCCGACAAAATTAGCTGAACTACGTGGCGACCAGACATTAATGCAGGATGTCTGGGTTACACCCTCAATTGGAGAGGTACCTCGATGGTTGGAAGACTCAGACATCAGGGACGGAATTCGTGCCCTTCTTAAACGTGACCGGTGCAGGGAGGAGCAAAAACGCTTAGGCATGGAGGCTGACAATTTGTGTCGTTTCTTTGAAGAGGAGCTGACAGCATTGGAGCTTTCAATCCGATTGTCCGAAAGTATGGTTCTCATTACCAATTCATTCAAGGTTCATTGACGAAATTTCTTATTTATAGATGAGCGCTTCCTCATTCCATTACAACAGAAGCGCTCACATTTTCTCAGACTTCAGGTGCGATGGTCAAATGCATTAGCATCTTCGGTTCGGTTTAGCAGCCGTGCAAAAGAGGCACTAGATAGGGCTATAACCTACTCTGGAGGTCCTCTCAGTCCCTCTTTTCATTTGACCAGTGTGACGGTGCAGGATCCTGTTCCCGAGGACGGGCCAACACTGCTCGAGGCAGATGATACCATGAAGGTTGAGCCCGAGCAAGCTGCCCTTGCCGACATTTTGGAAGGTGATAGTGCTGGAGCAGAGTTCAATGAAGATCAAGACGTAGCGTCTAATCTTTGTGCTGACATAGTGTGGGATTGCCCCGAGGTACGTCGATATCGTTGATAGGCCCAGAGTATCACTAATGTATTAGTAGGGTCTCCTAATTGATGATTTTCATGCCCCATTTCAAGATTCGCACGTCATCGTGTCTGGATGCGCAGCTACTAGAACCACGGCGTCAACTGGAGGCTTCCCCTGCCAAGTATTCGAGCCGAGAGACATAGCTTTTCTCACTCGTCCGACTGCGTTTCTTAACGACGTATGTATCAATGGTTGTGCCGTCCTTCTGCAAATGGACATGCCCAATCCCACTGTAGCTGTCTTCTCTACATTTGATCTTCCTCGCATTCGCTATAATGCAGCTGATGATATGCTCTGGCGCAATACATCGTGGATGCGTTATTGGGAGAAAGATGTGTGGGTTCTACCAATTCATAGGCCATCTGGTGTCGGCCATTGGGTTGTTTGCATCATCTACTTGTCAAGAAAGGAGCTTCATCTCTTTGATAGTCTAGCTGAACGGAAACCATGGAAACAAGATGTCAAAGTTGGTTCGCTTTCACTTTCGTGCGATGTTCATTTTGATGGATTTGCAGGATGTCATGAAATTTATTTGTCGACTTCTGATGGTGGCCCGTCAACGAGACAAGAACGTTCATGTTGATCTGGACGGATGGGCAGCTCGTCCGTTGAGTGTAAGTTCAATGACATTTCTCACATCTAAGTGTTCCATTTTTGATGATTTACGCAGGTCAAACCTCTTCAGACTAATGGTTATGATTGTGGTGTATGGGTATTAGCGACAATCATTGCTGTCCTACGCGGACGACAACTTACGCAACTTCAAGAGGACGGGATGAGCAATCTCCGACATTATCTACGTTCTCGTGTACTTTCTATGCCAGTATCCTAGCGTGCATGGAGGGTGGAGCCAAGTTGAATTAAAGTAGTACAATGTCTAAACATATGGATTCTTTCCAGTAATTAGCAAGTCCTTCTCCGTTTGATAATTTACGATCCTTCGTGCTACCCACTGGCAGTAGCATTCAGCCATGATCTTGTGTCTCCGAGTCACACTTGCCTGCAAGCGGGAAACACAAGTGTGAAGTTCATTCCAGCCTGCACTCAAACTCTTCTGCATGTCTCGAATCTCTTTGAGAAGCCTGTCACTCTCTCCCATACTATACATGGCTGTGCGGTGTGCACAAGATTCCCTTTCAACCCGCAAATAACGTCCATGCATCACATCAACGAGATTTTGTGTGAAACGCTCTTCCTCTGGAGAGTCGGGTGGATTGGGGAAATTGTAAGGAGGTGGTTTGTCCCATTGCAAGAGGTCGGATTCGTCGATCAAGTTTGAACCGGCAAGGGATTGGTGAAAGAGATAAGAATTAGGAAGGGGGAGAGCCGCAAAGTGAAACAAGGAAGATGTCAGAGGTGCTTCAGACAGGATCTTGAATGTATGAGGTCCGCGTCGACCATGACGCTTGGCGTAGGCACAAGCATTCTGAGCTTGCCTCGCCATTTTGCCTCTATAATAGCGAAAACATGTGAATCAAACCTAGACAAGATTTTTATAATGCTCACCGTTGTGACTGAGAATATGTTACTCTATGTCTTTGTGAGGCAGCTGCTTTCTCGTCTAATGTGAGGTATTTTGCTCGCCTGCCCATGATAATTGGATGAATCGTGACGATGGTACATACCAAGATCATAGTCGCTATGAAGTTCGTACTACTGTGCTGCCCTGTTAGTTAGAGAAATGCAATACAACCATTAGCCATGGAGTTTTCTTTCAAAATCTGGTATTAACACAATGGGGCGTGCTGTTAGAGCCCATGAGGCTAGTTCAGATACCTTGAATCCTAGAGAATGCCTGTATGTTTGTCTTTTTTACTCAGTACGATTTATATATTCAAGCTGATTGGCTCACAAATATCATTACACCTTGCGGGAGCCCTGCAGGAGCCTCTATTGAGCCTCTGGACAAACTCGTAACTTTGGCAGCGATACCCGTATCTACTATATATGAAGGCTTCTCTTCGAAAGAGGTTTCTTCTCCTCTGAGTCTGCATCTGATTTCATATCATCGTCTGAGTAGATAACCTCCCCTTTTGTGGGTTCCGAATCCTTTGCCTAGATATTGCGTGAAATAAGGGAGTATCAATCACGTACTCGACATTGCCAAAAGGCTCATCCTCCTCTTGCTTCACCGTGTCAGAGTTCCCACTAAGTTCATGTATTATACAATTTCATAGATTCACAGAGGGCAGGTAGGATTAGACGAGAAGCCACATGGAGGGTAACCAAGCTTGGATATCAATCTAAAAGAGTGTAAAAAGTTCAAGGGTGAGGTAATGAGCGAAACGCTAAGGTGATGTACGGCCCAGCAGGAATATTAAATACTAAATAACAAACTAGAAGAGGTGAAGGGGGAACGACAATGGAGAAACACCCTCAAATGCAAGCATCACGACACTCACTGGCGCCAATCAAAAGAGCGTGAATTGTTTGAGGGCGAGGGGGGTAACGAGCGAGACACCAAGGCGACCCAGCAAGAATACTGAATGCCAAACTAAAAAGAGGCGAAGAGAGAACAATAAGAAAGAAGCACTGAAGACGAAGATATGGTACTCAATGTTCGAGGGCGAGGGTAACGAGTAAAACGCCCAGGTGATGTACAGTCCAGCAGGAATACTAAATGGCAAACTAGAAGAGGTGAAGAGAGAACAATAAGAGAGAAGCACTCTCAAATACAAACATCACAACACTCATCGGCGCCAGTACCAAAGAGCCTGAACTGTTTGAGGGCGAGGGTAATGAGTGAAATGCCAAGGCGACCCAGCAAGAATATTGAATGGCAAACTAGAAAGAGGTGAATAGAGAACGATGAGAAAGAAGCACCGAAGACGGAATGACAGGACTCACACCTGCCACCAGTGACTAGCGAGACCCAGTGAAGTGTGAAGTGCGTGACAAGACTGTTAATGCAAGTAAGTTCATCAATATCTGCACCAGTGCTCACTATCTGCGCCAGTGTTGACAAACAATATTACACAACGTGATGTGACTGGTGGGAGTGGTCAGCCATGCTCGGGGGGCGCCGACAGCTTCAAACTCCGTCTGGGCATCGCCACCTGGACCCAGACCGCAAAGTCCAGACCTGAAGTCTATATAGACTTGTACCCAGACCGTCCATATCACCCTCAATGTTCATGTTGCCCCTCCATACTTGAATCGGGGGCGCCTGAGCTTTTCGGTGGCTTCGAGGCTTCTTCGAAGTTCAAACTTACTATAATTATCCATGTTCCGAAGATTTCTATGGCCTCTTTTGTGTGTTATCGATTAACTATTTTCTCGTACCCTGTTACTCTGTTGCAGATGACTACGACCATATCTAGACCCTTGCATGTTGATGCTGCCATGCAGACGGACGCGCACTCTTTTACAATTACTCACCTCGTAAGTTCTCTAGTCAGTTTTATATCCGAAAATCCGCTGATCACTTCTAGCTCGTGGATGCAGCAGTGTCAACAGAGGACTTAGAAGTTAGTGGGGTTAATGCCAGTCTCCAAGTCGATGACGGATGGAAGGCACTGGATGGAATTCCCTGTATCATGGGTGGTATAGCAGCCCTCGCTGGTGAGTTTCGTTAGTTCCCTTTTACACTAATCTTGACTTTATTTCAGCGTCTGTCGGTGGCACCCTGCATGGCCGCACTCAAAACGACTTCCCCTGGAAAACTCTCCCAAAGGAACTTGCTCGGCTCGGATGTTGCCTTGTGAACTATCCGGACGAGACTTTGATGCCTGGCGAGACTCGACCCACACTCACTCGGACCAAAGGAATACATGATTTGACCCTCCGTCATCGTGCTAATCTGGTCAACGCTCTCAAGACAGGCGCCCTCACTATTCGAGCCGTCACAAGTGATGCTGGCCGCACACGCCTCACAATGTCCAAAGACCCGATTATCATTGGAGAGGCACCGTCACATCATTCCATCCACCCTCGCGGTCGACGTGCATTCGCTGACGGTAACATTGACCGAAAGGGTCTTCGCCGTCTCCCCTCACCTCCTGCCACACCTTCTACTCGCTCTGCTTCACCTTCTACTCGTCCTGCTATACCTCCTCATCCTACTGCACCTCCTCATCCTACTGCACCTTCTCATTCTGCTCTTCCTGCTAGTCGTCGTCGCGTTCAAGTTTTTGTAGAGATCTCACGTCCACCACCCCGGCCAGCCTCTAGATCTGTGCCTAAATCAACACCACCATTGTCACGCCCGCCACCCCAGCTGGCTTCTAGAGCTGTGCACAAATCAACATGGCCCAACGTTGCTCACACTGATGATCTTATCCCACCAATATCGTTTGTGGAGCGGTCTACATCTGATGATGAAAGTGTTGCCGTGGATGAGGACCAGTATATTAGTGAGAGTGATTGTCGCCCTACCAAGCGTCTCAGACGTTGACTGGTATAACGGCAAGTAACTGAATACTTTCAAATGTAGATAGCATGTCAGTACAACAGTTCTTTTTTGAAATTGTACTTTAATTTCTGATGTACAGTATCAGACCTCATCTTGATTCAAACTCAGTAGAGGTAACTTTGTCGGTTCATTGACATTATCCTTAGTTACAACACGACGTTCATTTTTCAGCCTCTCTGTAGCCTCTCGGGCCTCCCCAAACCCTCATCCTTTATATCCTCTTCGGCTACTACTAACGTCTTGGGTCGCAGTTACTGTTTCTGATCACTCCTTCGTTTCTGGTAACCACTTCGATTTGAAGTTATTCGGGGTCATCGGTTGCAAAGTAAGTCACTTGCGCTTTCTAGCACTCATTTCAGCCTTTGTGACATAATGATACTACAGTCTGGATCTTCGGCTGCACCATAAGTCCCTTGTTCTTTCAATTTTCGCATCATCTGTAATATTCTTTTCAGCCTTTCTGACATGACAGTACTGTCATTGGGTCTAGACCATATCGGCCGCAAAGTAAGTCACTTGTGCTCAATGTCATCTGTGTTTGAATCATTCTGAACCCTCTTTTTAGCCTCCCGAGCCTCCTCAGAGCCTCCTCAGCGCCTCACTCAAACCCTCACTTAGGCCCTCGCCCACACATTCTTGAACTTGTATGTCTCTGTTACTATCCGAATAGTTTTTAATGTCTTGTACGTTTGTTTAGTTCTACCGCTCATTTCTTAGTCCGAGTGAAACTATGGAACACCGTTGCACTGATGGATCCCTCATAAGTATCAGAGCTCTGGGGTTTTTTTTGTGCCCCTTCAGAATTCCCGCCAGATTTTCTCTCTAGTATCTCGCATATAGGTAAGTAAAGTGTGTGCCTACATACTTCTTCTCTCATTAACTATCTACTGCAGAAATGACGCAAAACAACCCCGATAACCCACCGTCTCCTCACTCGAGCTACATGGGCCTCCCCGATAACTTTGATTACATGTCTGAACAATTCGGTGGTGGTCGTCGATGCGCAACACCACCTGCTGAGCTGACTCCGTCACGACTCAGGAGTAAGCTCAAGGCCACAGCGCGGGATGTTGGCCTTGTCAAAGGCGCATCTATCCGTCGCCAGGCCTATCAACACGCCACCACTGTGGAAGATCAAGACCTCGTACCTGTGCACTCTGGTGCACCAAATTTCACCCACGCGGTGCCAGATAATACTTCGGCAAACGCAACATCATCGCTAACGGTCCCCGTGGCTAGTCGACATGCCTCACCGTTTCCTACCCCACAAACCCCTGCGCAGATCCAGGATATTTTTTTTAATTCTATGCGCCAGCAACCTGCATGGATGGATCCTAACTCCTCTGACACCTTTAGTATGATGGGGGCTGAGTCTTTTTTACCCGGGGGAACCCAACATCACCTCATCGCGCAGGACATAAGCCGTCTAGCACCACCACCAAGTTTTAATTTTCCTACGAGTTCATCGGGTCAAGCAACCTCTCGTACATGTTCCCTGGAGCCTTACGCTACAGGCCAAACTCCTTCAGGATTTACGCAGGATTTTTCTGGTGACGTTGCCCCATTCATCCCTCAGCCTGTTCCATCGTCATTGTCTCAAGATCATGCACCTCCCGTCCCAGCAACGAACATTATTCCACCAACGCCATTCCAGACTAATGCTGCCTCTTCGATGAATACTATTGGTGCAGGTCCTTCATTCCATGAACGCTTTCCCGAAGAGCGCGAGCCGGTGACCCGTCAAGAGGGACATACAATTACTGGACGCAGGTCGGCGGAGCTGAATGCAGCATTAGAGGTCGGGTTTGCTGCAGTCGAGCGCGGCTTTCTTGATCTCTCTACGTCTACTACACTCCCTATTTCCCAATTGATCAACTTATTCTTGAAGAGTCGCGGGCGCACCGTGAATGGTATTAATTACTGGAACTTGTACGCTAACTACTTCAAAGAGCATATGCAGACGGAACTTGCGCGCATTGGCAGAGAGGCCCCAGCCGGAGGCGGCACGCCCAGTAAGTACTATATTACATCTTCTTTTGCACAAGGTTTATATTCCTTACAGGTGCGACCGTGCGCACGCAGTGTTACGACAAATTCAAAGAGGCCTATCCCGATTCTTACCAAGACCTCTTGTTCATGCACGAGGAGGCATCGCTCCTTGGATCATCTACTCAGACAATAGCTCAGCGTGGACAGGGATTTCAGAAACATTATCGAAGAGTAATACAGATTGTATGTCATCTCACCTGAACTTTCGTCATCATCTCACATTGCTATTGTAGCTCGAGTCTGCCTCCGCTAAATCTGGCTTCGAAGCAGCCATCGTCCTATGTGGCAAAGTGGTCAATGAAGACGGGTCACTCGGCCATTCATATAACACACCAGGTGCTGCAGGGGTAAGATTCTTTGTCGTCTAAATCCTCACGTATACTTAGCAAGATGCAGTTCTGGCAAACACGATGCCGTGCGAGTGATGATGCCATCATCGGGCATCTTAAAGCACACGTGTAGTAAGTATGATTGTATCTACCTTGATGCTACGACTGACACCACATCTTCAAACAGTAATAGTACATCCTTGGCCGAGGTGGATGAAGCATTCCATGATGATACTTGCAGTGACCTATTGACCCCCCACTCGCCTCCAAACAATGGTCGTGATCAGTCTCAGGCACCCGAGGGACGGGATGATGCTTTGAAGTGGGTTAAGCTTGAACTTATCAAACAAGTCGGTATGTCAGAACGTCACTGGTCTTTTAATTCATCTGACTAAATGTATACTAGCCCAGCTTGGGGGCAAGTGTGCCTGGGATAAAAACTTCCCTTGGAAGGGCATGTCCAGCGCACTTGCTGACGCCAATCTCTGCATCAAGGGATATCCAACTGAAAGGTGTCTCTTGCCTGGTGAAACTCACAATGAGAACTCGAAGAATAAGGGCATTGGAGCGCTGACACAGAAGGAAATTGCGGTGCTCGTGGAGGCATTGAAGTCAGGAACCATGAAAGTTGTCAAAGTTGACAAGGCGTATCGAGGTAAGATTCTCGTTGTAAGAACATTCTGATTCTAATGTTATGTGCAGCATCTGTTATGGCCTCTGAGAGGCCTGTCATCACAGGCATAGCGCCTCCTTCTGACTGGCCACATGCTGGTGCTAGACGGCTGTTTGTTAATGGCGACACCGACTACCATGGCCCAGCTCGTCTCAAGCCCAGCAATGCGACTACCAAAGTCAAGAAGGCTGATAAAGTGACGAAGGCCCCTCCACCACCTAACGCCGACGCCAACGACGACGATGATTCGGATGACGATCATCCAATAGTACCTACTACTCGGAAGTTCAGAAAATTTGCCACACGAGTAGATGTCATGGAACCGCCACCATCACGTCCATTTAGAGTCGTTACACTACCACCCTCACACCCGCTCAAAGTCGCTCGAAAGCCGGGACCGACTGCCGCAGCACAGTGCGAGGTGATTGAAATTAGTACTTCAGCTGGGGAGAATGTCGCCACAGAGCCTGAATCGGAGTATGAAGAAGCACGCGGGAAGAAGAGGAAACTGAAGTTCGTGGATACTTCACATGCGTTAAAAAGGCCGGCCCCGTCCAGCGAGAAGTCTGATACTTCGAAAGTGGAGAAGAAGGCTGCACGGCCGAAGCAACCCAAAACGCCTGCCCTACCAACTTCTCCGATAAAGGGTGGCCCTCTGTCCCCATTGACAGTGGGATCATCGAGTGTAGCAGCATCGCCAGAGCCTGAGACTGCAGGTGAGTACTCTTTATTTTATATTAACTTTACTTGACTCGAGGCGTATAGCTACGGTACCAGCATTCCTCCAGGATGGTCCCTCTAACGTGCGCACAAAGGGTAAGCCTTTTTTCGAAACAGCTATTCTTACAGAATGGCTAAGGATCTACCGTCTATGTACTCTCTAGTAAAACCACGCCCACTCACAAAGGAATCCAAGGGTAAGATGAAACGTGCTCTTCGCATGGCGTATGGCCGCTCGGATGGATCTGAAGTTGATGAGGGCGAGAAGACGGTTGCAGCTGTGAAGAGTGGTGTCTCCTCTGGTTTAGATCATGTCCCTAAGGAGACGTTACAGAAGGACCTACCTTCAGAGGCGATGCAGGATGACGGACCAGGAGGAGATCAGCAGGAACCACCTCGAGTCACCAATCCCATCAAGGATCCTCGTACTATTGACGACTCTCATGACTCCCGTGACCCTCCAGCCAACCCACCCCAAGCTCATGATGAGCTCTCTGTCCATCATGACCCTCGTGAGGGTATCCAGCAAGGCTCTGACAAGGGTGATGCTGTACGCCTCTCACGGGAACCTCAACATGAAATTGTCCACAATGACCCTCATGAGGGTGAGCCTCTTCGCGATCCCCGCGAGCCTCGTCAGGACCCTCGAGACCCTCCCCATCACGTCCCTCGCAACACCTCGCGCGATCCTCGTCAGCCTCTTCGCAATCATTCTCGTGAGCCATGGTACATACACGAGGCTGTGCGTCGTCGTGAGGTCCACCATCTGCGTGAAGATACCCCAATCACTGAGCATGATGCTCTCTACCCTCGCGATGCCTTCTACCACCGTGACGTTCGCAATCACCGTTATGCTGGTTCGCAACCTCCCGACCATTATGGACCTGAGCCTCGTACTAACGATGAATATGCCATGCGGGATAGCTCACCAGCCTTGGAGGTATACCGTGATGATCATTATGCTCACAGTGAGCGCGAACGCTCATACTCAAGTCGATACAGTCCGGTACTTGGTCCTAACTATGCTCGTGAGAGTGGATACTCTCGACGCGATGACCTTGATGAACGGCGGGCACTTGGTGGAGGAACTTACCGTGGTGGATACCCTCAAGGCAGGACTCGTTACCATAATTCCAGATGGGCAGATCACATCCGCGATACTGTGCCTTTGGACTATGTTCCTCATGACAATGTGGCACGATCATTTAGTC